TCTGTCGCTCTTTTGAGAGAGAGCAGCAGCGGGCGCCTCGATTTATCTCAGAAGTAGACGCTACATTAAATGCCAGTTTAATAGTTCGAATTTACTTCTATTGCGTTAATTCCTAGTTATGCAAGGTAGCCGTTAAATGAAGTGAATGGTAATCTGTCTGAATTAAGCTTCAGATGTCGCGACATCTTTATTCCAGTTCTCAAATCATTAAGGTGAGCCTACGTTCTGGGATGTGGTGAAATAGAATCGCTTTATATTGCCTTATTGTGCTTACTAAGTATGATTTATTTATTTTCTTAAGAATCTTTAAATTGGCCAAGGTCTGATATTAGCGTAGTACCATTAACATTATTCGTTTCACCGCTTTTTGAAGCTGTTCCGCGAAGAAGAGATTTGATTGTTGACAGCCCTTTTATGTAAAACGAGCCAATGTTCCCCAAAGTAAGTAAAGTGCAGTAATACGACATGTGCGACAAGCGTTTGTGTTGTCTACATGAGATGTGTGTTCGCAACACATGGTTCAGTTTCAGACGCGGTTAATTGCATTCTCCATTATATATAGGGAGGTTTCTTTCTACATCGTGACTATCAACAGCAGCTTTTAACCATGGTAATGGGTCGGGTGTAGCAAAAGGAATACAATATTTTTGTTTGCTGTTTCCATTTAGTGAACTACTTGACTCTAAGTATTTGATGCCTAGTTATTTAAAAAATCACATTACAGTAATAGGCTGGTTTTTTAGAGAAGATATCAAGAGTTAACTGCCAATTTTCACATTTAATGTTTTAACGCCAGAGATACGGTCTTAAATGAAAATCGCAATTTTTGTGAGCAATATAATAACCTATGATTTGGAAATCGTCAAATTTTGTGACTTTTGGCGTGAACAATATTAACATTTATTCTAAACATAAATTGAAAATTAAATAATGTAATCAAATATTAAGGTTATTTTCGCTGTATAATAAAAGATATATTAACAAGGCCGTGACAAGAAAGCGTATACTATGAAAATTAAATTTATTTATGCCAAATATGAAGGACTAATCGTTTCTGAGAAATCAGGAAATTGGAAAAAGGTCTGGGATACCAGCGTTTGCTATTATTGCTCCAATGACTCGTCATAAATACCTATTGTGATTTCCAGGTGATTCCCGGTGGTAGATGAGTAGACCTTATTAAAAAAAGGTATGTTGTTGGGTTAGCAACGCGGACACTGGCCTAAGGCGCAGAGTGCAGGCATGCGTTAGTGCAAATTTGCCACTTTTGTAGACAGAAGCTCGATCAGGTGTCGAGATGTGCGAACCAACATGGAGGCATTTGGGCACTGGGCCCGGGGTCGGTGACTCTGTTCGGCCCAGCCCCGTCAAGAAGCAGCATTCCGCACAGAGGGCCACTTTGTTTGTTCGTTTCCCTTGCCCCACACAGGCCAGACAACACCACACGCGCATGCGTCTTTCAGCCTGTGCAAAATAATCTCAATAGGACGGAAGATGTGGAAAATAATGCAAAGTATGCTCTTTCAGCAATGTAACGATATACAAATAAATTTCACGATTCTACAATTAAAAATGTCAATTATTTTGGTATTGATACCACTAATAACGAATATAATAATATTTCAATGAACATTACACCGATATTCGTTAAACATGTCTATATACTTTGCGAAATATGACTTGACTCGCAGATTTGTGGAGCGTCTGTCACAGTAAAATTGGTCAAATTTTCTAAACTGAAGATTAAGAGTCTATTGTGAACATTATTAATAAGAGCAGAAAAGGGATGTAAGCAGCACATTCATCGGTGATGAATGGAAACAAACTTCCACACAAAGCGCTGGACAACAGCACGGTCAAGCACTACGCGCACAATTGTGCAGATGGTACCAAGCGAAAAGAAACCTTGAGAAATACCGCTGGATTCGAGCTTAATGTATTGTGAGGGAAAACACTTTTCACAAAAGTGGTTAAGTTTATAAGCGGGCCTAACGTATCTCGAACACGTAAAAAGAAAATCTAGTGTCTACAAAAATGGTATAAATTTCCGCGTTATGTGTAACGAATTCGATTATTAACTACATGAACAGCGTGTGTTTCAAACCAATAATCTCCCCGCTGCGATTCGAACTCAATATTACGTTTAGTAGGTCATTGACGTTAAACTCAGCGAAGCTGACAGGTTAATTCTCCCGTTTTAAAAAGTAAAACTACACTCTAAATTTTTTGAAAAGTCAGAAAGTTTTCATTGAGGCTATTATCTAGATTGTTTCAAAAACGGAATCAGATGAATATCTCTACCTTTCATAATAGTTTGTTCAGGAAGAAAAAAACGGATTTTTTTATTTTTAAAGAAAATTTGGAAAAATTCAGTCGAAATGAGATACGTCCTTTTTTTATACTTAAAAATTATGAATCGAACGTTTTGAAAAAATTTTCAAAATGTTGATGCTTTCATGTAAAGTAACTCAAAAATATTAAGTTTCAAATTTGCCCGAACATCGAGTTTGGTGAGATCGACTGGAGAATAGCTAAGATTTGGCAGAAAATGTCTTGAGGCACTAGTGTTGTTGAATCACAACGGACTGTTTCTCACGTTTTCCGTGAGACCGGTTTTTTGTAGACGAATTTCTGTAGACGAAGACTCACAAAAATGTCGATTCGACTAGAACGAATATCAGTAGAGAATAATTACTTAACAAGATAAAGAATTGTTTGCTTGGCGACACCAAAATGAGTTTTTTGAAGAATAAATTAGATTTTTTTTCGCTTTAGGCGTTACAAATATTTTTTTAATTAGTACGTATTATGACGATAGAAAATTAGATTCAATGTTGGTTATTGACCCAGAGATTGATGTATTACTCTAAATTATATGCAGATATATTTGTCTCAGAAATTTCATGACAATAGTTACATTGTTGGGTCCAAGGCACCTACTACTGTGAAAGATAATTCGTGCGGCTGTCTTCTCTGTTCGGGAGTTTTCCATATTTTTCGATCAATTCGAAGGGGATATGCCGTTAATAATAGCATACCGGCAACAAACAAAGCCAGCTTTCTTCCGTCATCATGACCAGCCTTCGCCCTTTCACACACCTACACACGGGACGTAGTTGACTCGTCCGGAAACGACAGGATCATCCGGACTTACCACAGGATCTGAGCAGGGAAGACGAAAATGGGGCTCACTGGGATACACGTTCTCTTCACACCATGTCTTCGACGCCCGAGTGTACGTATCCCCACTTCTTAATCAGCTTGAAATTAAAAAAAAGAAAAGTTTTTTGAGTGAAAAACAATTTATACAAAATTTACTACGGAATTCTCTCATTATTTGTTTGTCTAGTAAATATACCTGTATCTCATTCCAAACTGATCATTTCAAGTGTCAAGAAAGTACAGGCTAGTGTATTTTCAGAGAGCAGGCTCAACAGCGTAGTTTGTTATTTAACCAAAAATAAATTCATTTTAGTTTAGACCTCGGATACCGAGTTTTTCCCATTGAAAATATTTATTATAATTGTCCATTTCGTTCTAGTTAGTAAAATCAAATGTAAAAATGACCACTTTTCCAAGGATTTGAGACGCTGGAGGTGTTCGCGTCATGTGGTGAACAGCGATGTACTGTTATTCCTGAAGTTGCCTGAAAGGTACTCCTGACGACGTAATTTCACAAGCGAATGCCCAGAGCTACGCAACCATAGAATACTGCCGTAAAACACACACTCAAGGCTGGTCAACTACATTTTTGTTCTCTGTTATTGTATAGAAAATACTTTTTCTTCGGTCAATACTCAAAATACCCCTCTCGTTTCATTGAAATTTGAAGCAACAAAGTACAGACGTTAAAGAATATAAACGTCAAGAAACTGCTGTACAGTAACGAAACGTGTGAATATTTTGAGAGCGTAGAAATAAGAGGCGTGAGAGGCGTTAAAGAAGAGGTTCGGGATTGTGGAGAAAAAATTAGAGATTACCGGGTTGCGCGGGACTTATGTGGCAGATTTACGATTCCAAGATTTTGGGCGCCTGAGAGACGGCTTTGGAATTTGTAGATGAGGTGGAAGCTTTGAATTTGAGGAAATGTGGTGTGTGCGTCTGGTTTGTGCCTGGGTGTGTCGAGGTCCCACGTCGGACGAGGATGGCGTAGAAAGAAAGTGGTTTTGAACTTGTGGAGTAAAGGAAAAAGGGCAGTACTCGTGCCTGTTGCTCCAGGTCCACGTCGGACGAAAGGAGGTGATGGCGTAGAAGAATATGGCTTTGAATTTGGGATAAAAAAAAGGACGATACAGTGGCCTGGCGTTGTCGAGCCACGCGTCGACCGACTGGCGGTAGAAGTTGGATTGTAATTGGGATAAGAAAAAAGACGTACCGTGCCTGTGGTGTCGAGGTCCACGTCGGACAGAGATGGCGTTAGAATGAAGTTGTTTGTAATTTGAGATGAAAGGAAAAAAGGACGTACCGTTCGCTGTGGTTGCGTAGGTTCCACGTCGGACGCGATGGCGTAGGAAGAAGCTTGTAGGGGCGGCGCGTGTCGCTCGTAGTGCAGCGCGAGCGTCTCGCAGCCCAAAGTGCAGAGATGCAGCTCCGTGCTGTAGAGGAGTGCGGTCCGCTCGTAGGCGCAGACGGCTGCGCGTTGGCTGTCGCTTCCCTGTGAGGGTCACAATTCTGGCCCTTTTCCTTATATCCGTGGTCCCAGAGGCAGCACGAAACGCAAGGGTCTGCTACGTACATTCGCGCGGTAGTCCGGGTTGCTTCTCGGATGCCCTGCGGAACATATTTTTATGTATCGTAAAATTGAGATAAGTAAATTAGTTCCACACGGCAGGGCAGAGTCGTCCTCAACCACGCGTAAAAAATACATTTTTGCAAGAAGCAGTCTTCCCAATAATTCATAACTTACTGCCAACCTAAAACACATTAACGTTAGAAGTCTAGTAACTCTTTTCACCGGCTGGATAGGGAAGAACACTTCTTTATTCTATTAATGACGTGTATTTTTACAGCCTAAGTAGGCACTCCTACATTTAGCAGGCAGAGAGTCTGCGCCTAGAGTTGAGGAGCTCACGCTCGTGGTTTTCGTAACGAGTTGCCTCGTAATGAGCTCTTGGACGTGAATTGACAGATTAGCGATAGAGAGCAGCATAGCTGTGAACTATCGTTGTCGTAGCATAGCAATAGAGTAGCACTGAGATAGTGTTGTGAGTCTTCATAAGGTGGTACGTGTTTCATAGTGTGAAGGATGAGTTTAAAGTGATCATACATATCATGCGTGTTGTGATATTAATAATGCTGTGAGCGAAGGAACTAGTGTGACTGTTTGGGTCTTGGGTTGAGATTAAGCTTTTGTGCTATAATTTTATGTAATCTTCGTTCATCATCAGATGGTGCATAATGGTGCTCTTTGTGGTGCGTGTTAAATGTCTGTAACGCAATAATGAGGAACGAAAGATGAGAGAAACGGAGAAGAGAACAGAGGTTTCGGGAAGAAATGATAATATTCGTAAACTAATTGGCAGAGATACCCGTGGCCTGTCAGTGGCCATACCGAAAAAAGGAAGCTCTGAGTACTCGAACCTGACCGTCGTACCCGACCTCTGTGTTGATTAACGAGGCTCTTCAGACAGGCCCAGGCACGGTATGTTTCGTAAAGTAGCATATCCACTTAATCACGAATACTGAAAAACAACATCCTTGGAATTGTTTTTATTTGCATTAATTTATCCAAATTTTAAAATTTTTTGAAACGATGCGCGAACATAGAAATATTCAACCATTAGAGGGGGTACGTAACTTAACATTAAGTTAAGAGAAAAACGCATAGAAAAATAAAAAATTAATTGTACAGAATTGTTTCTAATTGATGAACTAAATTTAGTTTCTCAATTTAAACATTTTCTACCCGATGCAGAACATCAAAATGATTCCAATACTAAAGTGGTTACGCTAAACTTAACGTTAAAGTTAGCTATGCCCCACAACCAGGTAAAAGAATGCATGGAACAAAAATTCTTTAAATACACAAAAATTGTCTTTAATTAACAATTATTTGATTACCTAAATTTAAACATTTGAACCAATGCAGAACATCTTACATATAATTTTTAAACTTACATCGCTAGTAGCCCTTTAGAGCGCGGTGTTTATTGTCGTGAGGATATATAGCTGCAACCCTCTTCGCACTTTTGGGCAAAGGGACTTAGGTTAATTCCAATATATTGTCTAAACGTGACTAGTATGGACAGAAACCGGCCCTCTGCCTGGGAACCTAAAATTAAATGGTATTTCTGAATAAAGTTTTAAACTGAATTGTGAAGATTGGGTGCAACAATTTTTTTAAATTTTGACGACTTCCGATATAGTATGTAATGATGAAAGATATATGTTGCAATCTCAAATTAAGTTATATGCTTAAGAAAGAATGTAAGATCACTGTAATTGAAAAATTCTGAAAGTTTTGAAATCGGTTAGAAATTTAATTTTTCCAGGCCTGTCCACAATTTTAATCATACATGAACATTCTTTTTTAATGAAATGCGGTTTATCAAATATAAAGCTTTAAATAACATCATGTCCTATTTTACGAAAATGATGGAAGTGTTTGCGCAAGTTTTGCTTCAAACATAGAAAATCTTTTTTTATTAATCTTTTCTTAAAAACTGCACAAAAATGTTTGATTCAATTTGGAACCAGGGTGCGTAAAAATGCTTAAAGAAATAGTAAAGTCTCATATCGGTTGAAACTGAGACTTAATTTTTCAATAACCGGCTTCAAATTTTTCCTATAAAATTTTGGTAGGGGGCAACATGTACTCTCAGACGACGTGACGCCATAATTGTCTATTTCAATTTGTTTTTGTTGTTTTTGAAAATCAGCATGGCAGCTGGCCAAGATTATGGTGGTAATCCAGTAGCTAGCAAGCCAAAGAAATATAAAACCAATACTGAGTCTGCCGCCATTCGGTGAGCAACAACTTAGTTACTTTCTAGTTACCACTTACGCACAGTAGAGAAATGTTATGCTATGCGAAACTCGGAATTATCAGCGTAGTGCAGCCAGAATCCAGTTTTGTGGGTTCCTGGGATAGCGAAAAATCGATTGACGCAAATCGCCTGTCTGTTCCCGTCCTGTCTTTGAACCCGCTAGCGTTAAACCTTCAGTCGATTTTCTCCAAAATTCATAGTCCCCAAATCCATATAGCTTATGTCTCAGCTTCTTTGAATTTGTAAACCGGTATTTTGATGTGTGGAAGATAATTTACATGCAAGCCCTGGGTAAAATTTTCAAATTTTCCAAAAATGTCCCAATCGTTGTTGAGGCGGCAATACTCGAAGAAAAGTGGGAGAGCCAATTGAGCAGGCATTCAACAAAACGCCGCCTCTTTTATCAGTAGTTTTTTTTGTCAAGACAGTGTCTGGAACGAAGACCGGGGAACAACACCAAATTGCAAGGATTGTTTTTCTTGGAGAATTAATTATACGAGTTACTGAAGAATTGTTAACATTTTACTCTGTACAAACGAAATTAACCTTTTCTTTTCGAATTTCGTCGTTTTTACTTCATGCTATAACCGCATCAGTTGCCTGGTACACCCTTGACATCGTACCTTGGAAGGCGTCAAAAACGTTTTTTACTAAGCTTTCTGCATTTCGCCTCTGATGACATGATAGCTATGTCGCGTCTAACATGAGAAAAGCGCAGTTTCTCAGAATTTTGACAATCCCACACATAGCGTTCAACGAGGAGTCACGAAGCTGATGCGATATTTCAGTGACGCTCCGAACTAACAGATAAGCAGCGCAATCTACGGCAGAGAACATTTGATACGAAAAGAACATTCTCGTATTAGAAGTCGAGAAGAATATTCTCGCGAAGCGCCACGTTTTGAAATGTATATCCTTTCCTCTGAAAACTTCTTTAAAAACATAGAAATGCCCTTTAAAAAACAAGACGCCAAATTTGAAGCAAGTGGCGGTCAATGTGCCAACCATCGCTTTTTGTCTTTACACTTTTCTCGCTGCTGACATTATGGTTGAACGATTTTCTCTGCGAGCCCGCCGCGCCCGCGCCCCAAAATGTCACCCACGCAGTTCACCAAAAAGAGGCGGGGCGTTGTGTTGTTAAAAAACTCAGAACTCGCCCCTATGCCATTCCCTTGCCCTCCCCTTCGTCTCGCCCGCCGCTGCCGAGCCTGCCGACCGCCTGTAGCCGTTTGCGCATCTCGTCCGTGGCCGTGCCGTGGCCGTTCCCGGCGCCGCCGCCGCCGCCGCCGCCGCCGCCGCCGCCGCCGCCGGCCGCCGCCTTCACCCAGAAGAGCCCAGATTGTCCCATCCCAGGATGTCGCGGCAGGGTGGCAAACTCTCTCCCACCTCCAAGTCGCTGACCGCATCCCCGCACACGGCGGAGAGGCGTGCTCTGTTGCCCCGGCAGCCAACGCGGGTCCAGTCCGCATCTCTCGTAGCAAAAGCGGCGAGATCACAGCAGCTGGCAAACCGTCCCTGTCAACATCCGCCGTCTGCCACGAAACCCAAAATCGACGGACGCGCCCGCTCACGCTCATATTCGGTCGTAAACTGTGCCCTCAAGAGGAGTTTATCAAAAACGCCTCATTTAAGAGATATCAAAAAAGTTGAAAAAGTGGTAAAATTTGACGCGCCGTGGATAATGAACTATTAGAAATACGGCCGTGATATTTGCACACGAAATTATATGAACAATATTATTTGATTTTAACATAATACGAAATCTCTAAGTATTAAGGAATATGTTCAACATCAAAACGTTTACATTAAATATTTCGTATAAATCACCTTCGTTTCGAACGATTTCGTAAATTCCGGAAAAAACGAGCATCTGATGGGAAAAATATTATCACCAGTGTATTCTCCATTATATTTTGTGCTAGAACTCTACTTTCGGAAAAAATCCGGCGCATGTCGAAATTTGCAAAATTTGATGAGTCGTTAAATTTTTACATCTTTTTAGACAAAAAATAACTGCCCATATCTCAAAAACTATGCACACTATTTCAATTTTTTTGTAGTTTATCGTCCTTTAGAATTTCATATAGTTTCAGAAAAGGCTATGATTTGCCACATTCGGACGTCAACTATGCCCTATAGAGGCGTTTATAAAATACACACACACAAAAGTCTTTTAAAGATATATTGAATATTATATGTTGAATTTGAAGTGTTGAAAGGTATGTTGAAGTTTTGCGTCGGTTCAAAATGTTTAAATTTCGGTAACAAATAGTTCTTAATTAGAACACGTTTTTGGTGCATATCGATTTTTGTTTCACCCATTTCCTTGTGTGGGTATGCTAACTTAACATTAAGTTAGCGTACCCACTTTTAGTGTCTAATATTTTGTTGTTTTGCATCAGTAGAAAATATTTAAATTTGGGCATAAATTAGTTGATAATTAGAACAAATTTCTGGGATACTGTTTTTCAATTTTGTGATAAGTGGGTATGCTAACTTTACGGTCTTTACGGTATGAATGTGAACGTGAACGGAGAGGTGACCTTAATGTCGTAGTTTGGTAGTTTAGAAAGGACGTTTGATGTCTCGTGATTCAGCGGAGAATAAGAAATGTTACCAGAATGGAGGTTTGCCCAAAATGAGATATAGTACTATACTTATACCTATTATTATTATTATTATTATTATTATTATTATTATTATTATTATTATTATACGTGTTGTACGCTAATTTCCACTTATTTTCTTACTTTCAAAGATTCCACGTACATACAGTCCAACATAGACGGATCTCTGTAGCAGCATATATCTACAACAACGTGGTCGTCCTTTTCGAAGCTATTTATTATGTGGAAGTAAAAAAAAGCTTCTGCCACAAATTGATGCATTGTTTTACCAGTTTTGCGGCATATTAAATGAATTTGTGTCTGTAAAAAAGAATTATTTATCAATACATTGGCTCATAAGACATATTTACAAGATAATCTTCATTTGATTGATGCTAACTTGTTCTTCTGGGTACCACCGAAAAGATGCTGCCATTGGGGAACTGGTAACGTGATTCTTGACCATGGCCGGTACAGATACCGACAGCGGTTGTTCAACGACGACGAAGAAGTTCTCGGTGAACCCAAATGTGTGCATGTATCCCGGGTGGAAAGGCCAACGTGCTGGAACCTTAGCCACAATCATCGCCTCCTCGAACATACTTGAAGGCTCTGGAAAATGAGAAACAATTCAGGTATTAAGGCGTGGATATTGTTGAGGTTGCTTAGATGATTGAGAGAGCATTTGCAGAAACTGCGACGAGAGAAGTTCTGTACCTCTGAGCTTGGCAGACCAGTCCTGAGGAAGGCCACGATAAGATGGTCGTAACACAGCCTTTCGCGGCGTCAC